TAATCATTTTTTTGTCGTTATCCAATTTGATTATAAAATATAAAAATAGAGAGTTCTAACTATATAATTTTTGGTACACAGGTTTTTATATAGGTACTAAAGAGTTTTTATAGAATATAGACTTCTTAAGCAATCTAAAAAGCAAAATGAATACTTGGTACCCAGGGTACCAAAAAAGTGACCCCAGAACTCCCTTTTATGCCCTACTATTACAACCTTCGAACAAAATTAAACGCACAAGAGACTGTGTTTTCTTCACTCCTTAGACCTTTGAGCCTTTTCTCACCTTTAACAGTCACTATACCCTAACTATGGATGCACACACCTCAACTTTCAACCAGTCCTCACACTCTCCTAATCAAGCACCTAACAACCCCTTCCCACAAAAAGAAGTAGACAAAATGACCCCAACAATACAGTTACTCAAATGGATTACTTTTTGACCACTCCTGCCCCAACCGTTCTCACAACACAATCACAACAAAGTGGGCAAAACACCATATTCCCAGAAAACAACAAACCGATTGGGGCTTCTGTGCCCACTCCAGTTAGCATAGGAAAAACCACAAAAATTTCTACACCAATCATCACAACAAACACTGTACCTAATTTGGTACAACAACCTATCCTGGCAGTCGATTTACAACTCTCTGATCTTCTGGGGCTCTCCGGACCTGAAAACACATTTACAACCAAGCCCAACCTGTTAATGGCTAACAACCTAGCCTTTTTACCTAACTCTACTACCAACTCCCACCAAGACTTACCTATGAACACCCAATCAAATGCTACAATCGAATCCTTACCAAAAAGATCCTATGCTACTGCACTTACGGGTAACCAAAAACCTAAACCCCAACACAAATTTTCGGGCCACCGAGACTTCAAATAGTGTACCTCAGTTCTTAAAGATCTAGCAACACAATGTATCAATGAATTTGACAAACTTAAATGGCACAATAACTACATTATCTCTACATTCAAAAATATCACTAAACTTTAAAAATTCTTTGTCTACAAAATAACTTCCATTCCTACTTCTTACAAATTACCACCGGCAATCAATGAAAAATTCATCCACTTGGACACTGCCTTCTTTAAATCCTTTATTCGCAATAATTTTACTTAACTTCAACATCAAAAAGAATTTGAAACTCTCTTACAAATTGCAATTAAAAGATACAAACGTTGCCATGATGCTCGTTATATCAATAAAATCAACCAGGACCAACTCTTTCAAAAACTTAAGGCAAAACTTGCACTCGACTTCTTATATAACTTGGACTTTATGTTGAAAAGCTCTCATGATATTACAAGATATATCACCTACTTGTTAAACTTCACAAAAATCACCACGCCCTTCAATTTCGAAAAAATTAGAGCTACTTTAACTTCCGCTCACGCCTCCCTTCTAAAACCTTTACCTTCTTCTCCATGTGGTATTACTGATAATATCATTCAGATTCTTCCATTTAAACTACCTATTACTGACCGCAGTGACACTAGGGTGGTCATCCTCACTCTGTGCAAAATATACACATTTGATAAACTGCATAATAGCTACTTCGAAATCTAATTACTACCTCTTCCTGACCACCTCTCTAAACTCAACCTCGAAATACAGGATCTATTCCCCATTACCGAACCATCCAAGCTCACATATTTAGCCCTTTACCGTCAAAAACTATTCAAATACTACATTGTGGGCGAAAAATCCCACCACTCTACTTCAACCTACTACCACAAAAACCCTGTTTACCTAGTATACTGCAAAACTTAAACTCAGCTACTCGACACCTATTCCTTGCAATCCTAAAGATTTCACTGAATTTTGCCACTTTGTTGAGGTCCTTCGCCAACACTATAGTTTTAAACATGTCCCCTCTGACTTTTTCGTACAGAAACAGCCTCTTTCCCAAAACCCAACACAAGTAGCTACTTCAAAAAAATACTTTTTCCCTATCAACGACCCAACGCTAGCAAAAGAGTTTCTGGCAGCTATTCAAAACAAATACTGCTTTACTCTACCTCTCCCCAAGCATTACATAACAGTTAACCACACAAACAAACCAGAACTACCCTTGATTGCTGATGAGGTAAAGCTGGTCAATATCACTACACCTATTACAAGCCCCAAAGTTCTAGTTAAAATTGTATACCTCTTAAGAGAATACTACTATTTCAAACAAATCTTAGCTGACTGGATCAATATTTTACAAAAAGCCTTAATTGAAACAGATTGTTCCTCTCTACCATCTACACTCGATGAAATCAAAGCTATAATTAATTATATATCTATACCTGAACTAATCGTCTTACCAGCTACTTCTTAATAAGAAGTTAAAAATGCTATTGTATTTTTACATACTCACTTTACCTTCAGAGAGGTTCCCCCCATATCATTGATATCCCTGAACTCTCTGTATCTAAATGAGAACTCTTTAACAACTATGTTTCTGATAAGTGAATTCACTAACATATATGATCAACTATTGGAAACTAACATCTTACTTTCTAACCATGTATCTCCTTTGACACCTCATACTAACCATCACAACCCCACCCCTCCTATTGAACAAACTTTTAACATACTTAACCACAATGTCCAAGGGATCAACCAGTCACTTAAACTACAACTACTACTAGAATACTGTGATTCAAACGAAATAGATATAGCCTTTCTAACAGAAACAAAACTAGCTGCATCTACTAACTCCATAGCACTTACTAACCCGCTTTACAAGATTTATACATCAAACTGTGATCAAACTAATGCAAACATTCATGAATCATATAAAGGTGTCGCAATAGCTTTAAAACCATCAATCCAACTACATATCCATAAAATCAGCACTATACCTGGTATCACTCTTCTCATCGATCTATACTTCCCTGCAAACAATAAGATACGCCTTATAGCAACCTACCTACCATCATCCTTAACACCATTACTACATACCACCCAACAACAAATTATTTCTTGGGTTAACGATGGTCGCTTTTGAAACATGAATCTTGTAATTGCTAGTGACTTTAACTATAATACCAACCGCCTCAACTACTACAGGCAATGCCCCTTACTCCAACACCTCATATCTATCGGCTTTATAAGTTTATTACAACTACACCACATCACTGAACCTACCTGGAATCAGAACCAGTTGTCAAGCCAAATAGACAATATAGGTCTCTCCTGAAATCGCACTCTCATTTACTATGCCCCTTATTCTTGACTCTACTAACATTACCAATAGTAACCACCAAATACTCACCACTTTACAACATACATACCCTATAGTCAAACAGCCTTGGCTCAAAAAACAGTACCGAAAAACTTACAACTATTATCATATAAATTCCAAACTCTGGGACAACCCATATTTCAGCCTCTGCTTACTATTACTAGCAAATCACCAACACATACCAACTAAACAAAACTTTCAACAACCTTAACAATATTATTAAACAAGCAGCTGACAAATTTATACCTTATACCTATACTAGTCACTGTACCTTCTACACTCACTTCTTTAAAGCTAGCTCTTTACATCGAGCACTAAAACACATTAACCATATCTTTAATATAATTAATCGACCCATCCCATTTCACATTCAACACATCACTACTTCTGTTAACAGCATTCTTGACAAAATCAATGCACTTACTCAAGCTACCAATTAACACCTTTAACTTAACAACTTGGAGTACAGCTCCTATACCCATACAAAAACACATCTTAAACAACTCCGCTCAACTTTATATACTGCAAGAAATATCGAGAATAATATCCAAAAAAGGGAGAAAATCTAATATTTCACAAACAAATGCCACACCAACTTCCAAAGCAATACAACCAAGATAATTGATAGTATTTTACACCGGCACCAACCCCCTGTCACATTCTACAACATCACTACACCAACTACAATAATCACTGACCCCAAGGAAATCAAACAAGAAACATCACAGCACTTCCGCTGCTGGACTCAACTCAACCCGTTTGACCCCAACTTGTGGATTGAATGGGAACAATATTATAAAACACTATCTCAAGTTACCTCCACTACATATGTACCACTATTAAAACCAATTAAAGCAGACGAAGTTCAGGCAACAATAACCACAGCACCCAACAATAAAGCAACCGGCCTCTCATTAATCTCAAATAAAATGCTCAAGAAACTTCCTCACATAGCAATTCTATTATTAGCTAAGATCTTCAACACCTGTATCGATCTACAAACAACTCCCTCACTATGGTATAAAGGTTTAGTTTGGCCTATACCGAAAAAAGGATACCAATCAGGAGAGCTCTCCAAGACTCGCCCTATAACACTCATTGAACATATCTGCAAAATCTTCACCAAAATCCTAACCACTCACATTAATTCTATTCTCGTATGCAACGATCTGCTTGATCCCGCAAATAATATAGCACTCACACTCACCTCCACTCTACAACCGATCCAACATATTACCCACTTACGTGAAAATGCACACATAAACAAAAAAGAACTTTGGATACTATCGCAAGATATGTCCAAAGCCTATGATACCGTGCACATACCACTCTTAAGCAAAGCCCTCTTTAGAATTGGCATGCCACTCCAAATCACAAATCTTATAGTTCACATCTTCTCAACAAGACAAAACCAAGTCATTACTTCCATCGGCAAAACACTATCCTACAACGTCGAAGATGGCATTGATCAGAGCGAAACAATTTCTCTGATACTTTGGTGCATATATTATGATCCCCTTATCAATCGTATCTTCAATTCAACACTAGGCTATACTGCCTCCACCATTGTACCAAACTCTACCCAAACCTGCACATCTACTACAAATGTAATCGCTTATATGGACAATACCACATGAATTCATTAAACCGAATATCACTTCAACAAATACTTAGTATCGCATTCTTCTTCTATCAAATGGTCAAAATAACTGTAAACTCTAGCAAATCCACTCTCTTCCACAACAACACTACAGACACTTCTCCTATTATCTTCCAAAATCAACCTATTCACAACTTATTACCAAAACAAACTTTTAGATTCCTCGGCACTTTCATTAACTATACTATTAATAATCAATACTCAATTCAAACAATCAAAAAACAATTTTTTACAGAACTTTTCAAACTTAATTATACAAAAATCACTGAAAAACAAGCTATCTATATTATTAACACAGTTCTGCTCTCCAGATTACGTTTAACACCTACTTGAATTTCTCTAGCTATCAATGCCTTATAAGTTGATATACTACTACTGTCAAGCACAAAGCATCTAACTTCTATTCCACCCTTATACTTATGCACTAATGAACACCCACCAATTACAACAAGCACACCACACATCGATCCTTGAAAACATGCTAAATTCTCCAATTACTCCCCCATTATTCTTCATCCGATTACAACAACTACAAAACGATGCTGCTTCTAACAAATCCATCTTAACTGACCAACCTCAATTCACTTTCAAAGAATACAAAACTTTTACCGCACAACTCATTCTCAATATGCATTAACTTAATATCCAATTTATCTGTCCATCCAATTCTAATCCATCTCCTCTCAATATATCTGGCACACCTATCAATTCTATTCTACACAACATCAAACACAACACCCATATCAAACACCAGCTTAATAAACATAATATAACAGCAATCGAACAATTTACAAACTATGACAATACCACAATGCTTGACTGGATAAGCTTTTATTATAATATCCAAAAAATACTACGCGGCCGTATTCCAAATTGGTTCAATACAATTAAAGACACTATTAGTGAAATAGCATCCTCTACTTTCAACCTGATATATCCAAATCCCTTCACATAAACCCCAGCAAACACTTCATCACGCTGGATCATAAC